AAATTTTATTTTCTTTCTACTGCTGGTTTTGCTACAGAAATACCAATCTGCAGCACATCAGACAGTCAGTACCAGCCAGCACAGAGACACTTAAAGGTGTTCACTGCATGAATCATTTCTTGGAATGCTCTGTTCCATTTCAAGGTTGTCCTGTTCTTCAGTTTGCTGAGCAGACTGGCTTAACCCAAACACACAAACTGGTCTTCATTTTTCATTAGATACATGGCTTATTTAGGAGAAAACCAGTTTCAGAAATGTATGTTCTCACTCACTACTTATGAAAATACCCACAGTTTATGTACTGCACTTAGAATTTACTTTCAACAAATTATAACCTGTAATTCAGAAACCAGTCTCCAATAGGTGTTGAGCAGAAATGCCTGTGATTGGCTGCAATGCCCACTTAACTCTTCTGTAGCTATCAATCATTTCACTCCCTCTGAGTCGGTACCTTTCTTCCTAAAGAAAACAAGATGCATTGCTCCATCCCACTACTCAGTCCAACTTTATTGTTCAAGTCAATCCTCTTTGGCACCTAAAGCCAAGCTCTTGGGCCTGATGTTTTTCATACTGAGTGTGTTTTGCTTCTCAGATTGACCTGGAACATCTCTCAGGATGTGGCAGACACTAAAAGAACCTGCACAACAATCCCAAAGATCTAGCCATTTTCATTTTATTTTGCTAGATTAAGAGGCAAGTAATACTAAGGAGTTCATCAACTTGTCCAGACCACAGCATAACTAAATGAGGAATATGAAACCTATCACTGTCCTTCCCTATTCACCCTGAAGTTCAATTAGCCAGACTAACATCACCAAAGATACACAAAAAAAGCTCCGAGAACACCATCTACCTCCTGGGGCCTATTAAGTGTAATCAAAAATAGGTCAGTTTTCCAGAAAGGACTTCAAGCAGAGCACCACGCCAGCCTCTTACTTGCACTCTGCTGAACAACTCAGCTGTTCACTGACAACCTTAACCACTTAGGTTAACATACCTTTGCCTCAATGTATTGCACACCCAACAGCCCAGAGGGCCTGAGCTCCTGGGCCAGAGCAGCAGCATGCTCCAGGGACCTGGCAGGACACAGTGACAAGGATCCCTCCTGCAGCACAGTGACCTCCTGGCACCAGGACCCCACCAAGGTGGGCTGTCCCAGGGCATCACCGGAGAGGCTCCAGCTGCTGCAGCCACAGGCATGCCTTGGAGGCAGCGGGCTGGCTGCAGAGCTGGGTGACAATGGTTTGTCACTCCTGTACCAATTCAGTTTCTTGCATTCGCACACAGAAAGCATAAGGCGGCAATGGTCTGTTTTTCAACATGGTTTTCTCTTGCTTAAAGGAGGAGGTGGGCAAGAAACAGGTTTAAACAGCAGCCTATACACTGAGTCAGTGGAGGAAGCAACATAGGGCAATAAAAAAAAAAAAAATCACAGAATTGTTAGGGCAGGAAAGAAATCTGGAAATCATTCAGTGCAACCCCCACCAAGGCAGGGTCTCCCGGAGCAGGTGCACAGGAAGCCATCCAGGTGGGTTCTGAATGTCTCCAGAGAGGGAGACTCCACAACCTCCCTGGGCAGCTTCTTCCAGCACTCTGGCCCCCCTAACGTAGAGAAGTTCTTCCTCATGTTGGGTGAAACTTCTGTGCTTTAGTTTATGGCCAATGCTTCTCGTCCTATCACTGGGCACTACCAAAGAGTCTGGCACCTTCCTCTTGTCACACACCAGTAAGATTGATACACATATACATGCACCGGTGAGACCTGCTCTCAATGTTTTCTTTTCAGACTAAACAGGCCCAGCTCCCGCAGTCTCTTCTCATAAAAGACTACAAAATATAAGAGATGCTCCAGACCCCGCACCACCTTTGTAGCCCTCTGCTAGACCCTCTCCAGTAGCTCCTTGTCTTTCTTCTACTGAAGAGCCCAGAACAGGGCATAGTAAATAAGACCACTCTCAGTAAGTTAAACTTAACACACACGGTGCCCCTTACACCCCTTTACAAAGGGCCGAAACGCGTGTTTCAGCCGGCCGCGGCGGCTGTCAGCCACCACCGGGCACCCGCAGCCCGTCAGCGGCCGGGGAGGCCACGCCGCGCCGGGCGGGCCCCGTGCCCGGCCGGTGCCGCCCCCCGCTCTCGCACCACTTTGAGGTCCAGCACGCCGTCCTTGGCCCCCTGCAGCAGCGACACGAACTTGGTGGTCAGCAGCCCCAGGCTCTTCTCGTGGCGGCTGCTGCCGCCGCCCGCCGCCTCGGCCGCCGCGGCCATGCCGCCGCCGGGCCACGTGTCGCGACCGCCGCAACGGCCCGAGCGGAGCGCGGCCCGAGCGGAGCGCGGCCCCCGGCCCAGCGGGCGCGGCAGGGGCGGCCCGCAGGAAGTGACGCCGCCGCCGTTGCCCGGACACCGGCGCGGCCCGGCCGCGGGGCTGCGGCTGCGGTGGGGCCGGGCCCGGCCCCTGCGGCCGCGGCAGGGTGGGTGGGCCGCGGAGGAGGGGCTGCAGTCGGCTGGGTCGGACTGCTCCCGACTCTCCCTCAGGGCGCCCAGGACGGATAGCGCCGGCCTGGAGTCGGACAGACATGTCCTTCGAACCTTCCAGTTGCCGCCTCGATAGCTCCTTGTCAGTCATTTCACCGTTCGCATTTGATATAAAAACACTGAGATTAATTGCAGACGGTGGTCTCACAATCCCCAGGCCAGGCACAAGACACGCTGGCGATCTGGCCAGGGGCACAGCGAATTTTCGATGCTTACCCAGCCCCTTCCCCCGGTGTCCGTATATACTTGGCCTTAGTTCAGGTACACCTCTTTCCCTTAGTTACTATCGAATAAAAGCAGAGAAGCGATAAAGTCCATACAGTGTAAGAACTCCGGGGACGCACGTAAAGAAGAGCAGACCCTCAGCTGGGTATGACACAGGACAGTGGGGCACGGGACCCTGGGTGTGCCAGGCGCGCAGGAGCTGCACCTGCACAGCCCATCGCAGGTTCAGGGCAGCATCTGCATGGTAACACTCTCAGGACCTGGAACCGCAGTCCTGGTCTCAAGTAACACAAAAATGTCTTGATTCCATACTCAGTATTGATCGAAACAGATCATTCTCTAGTCAGGAAATAAAGTCCAATAATGGAATTGATTTTAAATTGTCATGATTAATGCATGAGAGCATGCTTTGCATTTGACAAGGTTAGTGTTCACATTTTGTTTACATTTTTATCTAATTAAATTTATTTTATTAAGTTATGTCTTTCAGACATGCTGGGTTGAAATTTATCCTTGTGAATAGGTAAATTCAGTGCAGCTTTCACCTGCACCATGTCTTTATTATTTTACCATTTTGAAAGTAAAAATACTTTAAACACTTACTAAAAGCTATAAGGAAGCCATGTAAGCATAAAGAGGGAAACAATGCCAAAGATGGAGTCATGTACAAGAAAAAAAATGTTCCAAGCACTACTAACACACCCAAGTACTATAATATTAAATTCCAGAGCCAAGAACAAGGAATAGAAATAATTCATGTTAAAAATGTTAACAACTCCCTATGATGAAATCAGAAAGTTTCAGAACAACAGTTTTGGAGTTGAAGCTCAGAGGAAATATTAAGAAAATGAATCAGGGGAAGAATAAGTTCTTTTAACTTCCTGGTGCATTCCAGGTATTCAATTACTTCACCCAAAGTGTAGCTTGGTCAAATAATAAGCAAAGAAAAAAGAAGTGCCCCAGGAAACACTTGATCAACATGCCAGAAAAGCACTCTGAAGTTGTGCATGTTTTCTGCACCAATGATATCCATGAAAGTACTACTGAATAGCTTTCCAGGTGAGCATTTCCCTCACACACTGTGGACAGCATATAAGAGCACAAGAGTGAAAAATAATTCTTCTGCCTTTAGAAAACTGATGGAGTTTGTTCTTACACCCTGCTAACCATTACCAATATTTCTTAATTTTTACGTATTATGAACCAATGGCACAGGTTCCAAGCAAACAGTCCTTAGCAGCTCTCTCCTACCTTAGCTGAAAATACCACAGTGCAGACACCCCATTATTGCTGATGGCTCACTCCTGGTGTTTTCATGGGTCAGGTGTGGGAACGCTATAGAGGGAGTCAGAGCTGAAGCAGGTGTCTGCTTTCTGTCTCCTCCACAAATTTGGAATTTTACCCTTTTCTAAGACAGTGCAATCTCTAGGCAATTCCCAGCCCTACACACCTCCCCCATGCAAAGCAGAGTGGGGGTTGTTTTCCCAGGCTCTTGCAGGCACCTCATTCAGTTGTTGGGCTGCCTTTTCTTTTTTTATTTTATTTTGCTTTGCTACTGCTACTTCCATTTTTAAAACAAAGAGTCTGTTCCCGGGTTTCAAGGTCGTGCTTTGTTAAAGACTTGTCATTGATCATCAGATTTTGTTTTCACTACCGTGATCCCTGCTTTTAACTTGAGCCCATGTTTTCAAGGCCTTTGTCATCCCTTAAGCTGCACCTTATAACAAGAAGCAGCTAGTATCAAACTCTGGTTCACACAATAAGCTTTCATTAAAAAATTGGTAACAAACCCAGCAGGCCTCACACAGTTACCCAAAGGCCAGGGTTTTTACTAGCACAAAGTACTTTTAAAGGACTGCTGGGCACCAAAATGAACCATCAATTACACTGTGCCAATGTGGTAAAGCCTGGGTTCTCAACAACTGATGGTAAAGTCATGCTAGAGACTGCTATGGTCTCTGGAGCAACTGGAGTCTGCTACAGGTACTACAAGGTGCAAGGGGAGAAATAGCCCCCCAACCTGGTGTACCAGCATGTCCCCGTGATTTTACTGCTCACAGCTGCCGCGTTCTCCCCCTCAAGCCTCGTCTTCTTGCCCCCGGCTAGCTCTCCGTGAGAGAGAGAGCGGGCAGGTCTCCAGCACTCCCCGCTGGACCTCTGTGGGCTTTGGAGAGCGCTGTGTGGGTTTCTGGAGAAGCAGCCGAAAATCCCCATGGTGTAGAGAAAGAAAAGAGTCCTCCTTTGGGGGCCAAAATCCTCTTTATTAGTCCCAACGGGGACAACTCGCTGACAAGGATCCAACTAACAAGGTTGGTGCCTGCCAGAGAAGGCACTTGGAACCGGGTGACAAGGGATTTTATACTGCCGGGGGCGGGGAAAACTGGGACCAATGGGAATCTTTGGGGTGTGGCTCGCTCTTGGGGAAGGGCCAATAGGAAAGGGATATGGGAGGGGCCCCGGGACCTGGCCCAATCACCCGACGCCCTGGGTAGAAGATTCTGGATGGAAGGGCAGGGACACCAGGTGACGGACAGGGATCCAGGGAGGGGACAGGGGAATGACTTTGCACTTTTGGGGAGGATTGACAGGGGAAGGAAGGCGGGAAACCTGGGGATGGAACCAACTGAAAAACCGGGGGTACATGGAACAAACCAACTGAACATAGAACCGACCGCGTACATCGAATAAACGCAATAACTTAAATAGAACGCAAAATAACACAACTCTACATCTCCCCCTTTTTTGTTTAAAACAAATGAAACGGGGAGAACTTAAACCGGGAGTCAGAGTTCAGTTCATTCTCATTGAACCACACTTCTCTTGGCTCCTCTTGATCTTCGGTGGTAGTGAGCAGTGTCATTTCTGCATGGCATACTTTAGGTGTGGAGCTGATGGCAGCATTGAGGTGGTCCAAAACCAACCTTTTAATTATACTGAAACCAATGACAAAAACCATGAGGGTGAACAAAAGTATGAGGGCAAACTTCAGAACTGATTGGCCAAGGTTTGAGAGTCCCCATCCGCTGAAAACCGACCCCAACCAGTCACTTGGTTCTTGTTTTATGTGATTGATCATTTCTTTCATCTTCGCGATGGAAGTGCAGACGTCCTCAGCCTTTGAACTTAAATTGAAACAACACAAACCTGCGAACTCTTCACACCTATGACTATGAAGCAACAAAAGGAAATCAATGGCTGCATGATTTTGTATGGTAGCCTGCCTTGTAACTTTCTCGTCTTCTAGAAGTCCTGATAAAGCAGCTGAAGTAATGTTCACTTGTTTCGCTACCCAACCTCAAGACCCTTGAGCTCGTTCAAACTCTGTGCTATCGACCACCAGGGAATAAATGTGGTGATGAGCACGCTCTTGGTCTGATTCCAATGGAAAATTTCGTTGTTACAATCCTCATCCAAATTTTTAAAGTTGGTGTCTCTTTTAGATCTGGCCAAATTACCTGTTGAATTTACTTCCTGCCAATGTGCAATTTGCGTTTTGTTGGGGGTAAACAGCGTCAGCTGCCCGAATGTGCACGGTCCTCCGAGAAGACGAGATGGGATGCCTGCCCAGGCCCTATTGCCGCACAGGAAGAAGGTGCCCTTTGGTAATTTACGAGGTTGTTCATCATAGTTGGTAGATGCATCGATTTGAATTACTTTGAGGCACCACTCCCTGGTGGTATACTCTTTCATGGTTTGTTTTATTTCAAAATAGGACCTGGACTTAACGATGGGGTGGGATTCAGTGGTAATGAAAAACTGAACACAAGTATAAGCCAAAGCGGAACCTAAAAGGGAAATTGCTTGGGGCTCCTCATTAAGGACAGGAAGGGACTGGTACCACACTCTCCACTCATGTGGAACTTTAAGCTGGACACTTTGAAATTTTGTGGACCGGTTTCTAGGGGTGGGAACAGTATTAGGGAAATTGAACGGAAGGTGGTCGAGGGGGTAGGGGATCCCCACAAGGCAGGACAGGAATGGGTTTGCAGCAGAAGAGGTGGACAAACACAAGTGGTCTTGATTTAGGGCTTTAGCTAAAGTAACCCAAACGTTGGTGGGGGGCTGAGGGATGATCCACGCTTCCAGGGGTCGGTAGATGGTAACTGCGAAGATGATGAGGATGAGGTTCATCCTGAGGTTTCTTCTCTCGAGCTGGCTTTGCATGGGGGATGGTCTGAAATACAACTGAAAAGGGGGTTAATATTCGAAACACAGGAGGTCTAAATCAAAGGGAAAGAGTGAGTCACTATAGGTGGACAGAGAAAGGGAGGATTCGTGGGAGTCAGAGAAGCTTGAGATGTCTGGGAGTTCAGACAGGGGAGGCTTCCTTCGCCGCCTAAATGCCGCCTGCTCCACCTGAGGGATTCCCTTTTTCGGTTGGACTTTGGGAACATAAGGGCGGACGAATTTTGAGGGCACCCATTTGGGACCTGAGGGCGTAGATACGCAGGCGTACCCACGTCCCCAGGTGATTAACTCATAAGGCCCTTCCAACCGCCAGGTCTCGGGGTCTTTAACGAGGACCGGCAGCTTTTCCCTGACTTGACACTGCTGATGGCTGTTAAAATGCCTCACTATAGGTGGATTAAGATTCTTGAAGTTCAAGAAATTTAACGTGAGGAGGGCCCGCGATAATCGAATCTGGGGGGACTCAACCTTCATTGTCGGTTGTTGTTATTGCAGCATTCTTTTTAGACTCTGGTGAGTCCGTTCCAGCACTGCTTAGCCTGTCGAGGAGTAGGCGATGCCGGTCTTATGTTCTACTCCCCATTGCTGCAGGAAAGCCTTGAACTCCTTGGATTTGTACCCCAGGGCATTATCTGTTTTTATTAATTTGGGGACGCCCAGCGTAGAGAAGGCCTGCATCAGATGTTTATTGATGTCAGATGCCTTCTCCCCTGTGTGGGCAGAGGCATAGACGGCGCCAGAGAAGGTGTCTACCGATACGTGGACGTATTTTAATCTTCCGAAGGAGTTGATATGTGTTACGTCCATCTGCCACACCTCGCAGGACATGAGACCCCTAGGATTCGCCCCTGCGCTCACCGATGGAAGTGGGAGCGACTTAGAGGACGGGCATGTGGCCACAATGGCTCTGGCCTGATCGCGACTCAGGTGGAATTGCTGGACCAGACCAGGCGCATTTTGGTGGTACAGCTGATGACTGAGCTTGGCTTGCTGGAAGATGTCAGGGAGAGGCGGCATCTGCGCGGGAGCTGCCGCGAGAGAATCGGCACGCTGATTTCCCTCGGCCAGAAACCCCAGCAGATTGGTGTGCGACCTGATGTGCATCACATAATAAGGTTGCTCTCGGTGGGAGACTAATTTGATTAACTTTGAGAGCAACTTATGAAGGGCCTCGTTGGAAACACCTTGCAGGATAGCATCCTGCGCTCTAGATACCACACCTGCTACATAGGCCGAATCAGTTACCAAATTGAATGGCTCAGAGAACCTCTCAAAAGCTCTAACGACTGCAGCCAACTCAGCTATCTGAGGGGAACCTTCCACCTCGGCAACATCTGCCTCCCGCTGAGTCTGAGGATCTTTCCAAGTCACTACGGACTTGTGGGACCCTCCAGACGCGTCTGTGAAAACTGTTAGAGCATTGAGGGGTTTTTTGCTCTGAACCTGTTTTGTGGTTAGTGTAAATTGAATATCCGAATCAAAAATTTTGTGGGCTGGTCTCAAAACGGAATTTGACCGGTGTAGCTATCTAGAGCAAATTGCAATGCTTCGTTCTCTTGAAGCAGGTGTTCCAACATGGCCTTTGTGAATTGGCCCGATTCCAATTTTATAGGTAAATGGATGCACTCAAAATCGCATCCTGCCAACTCCCGAATTTGCATGCGAGCCTTGCGAATGAGCTCAGCCATCAACTCCTGTGGCCTCGTCATCCTTTTGGACCTCTGATGGCTCAGGAAGACCCACTCTATGATAGAGAGAGGGTCCCTTCGCCCGTGGTCCTTGTACTTGTTCTGGGTCTCAGTCCACTGAAAGATGACTCCGTGGAGGTGTGGCAGTCAGCCCAAAATGATGAATTTAAATGCCGCATCAGGATTATATCGATGGGCTTGCCGGGCAGACATTGTTTCCTGGACCTTCTCTAGTGCTGCCTGGGCCTCTGGGGTGAGTTCCCTGGGAGAACTGGGCTCCTCCCCCCCCTTCAATAAATTGAAGAGAGGGGCTAGGTCGTCGTTGGTCAGACCTAACCAGGGTCTTACCCAATTTAAAGACCCACACAGTTGCTGAATGTCAGCAAGTGTCCGAATCTTGTTTTTAATTGCCAATTTCTGCGGAACAATGGTCTGCTTATTAATTTCCAAACCGAGGTACCTCCAAGGTGGCATCCGTTGAATTTTGTCCGTTCTCAGCTCGAACCCTGCAGCAACCAACGCATCGGTTGTCAGGCTGAGCGCGTGTGTAAGCATATCGCTGTTGAGGGCACAAAGTAGGATATCGTCCATGTAATGTTGTATTATTACGCCTTCTGTGGCTGCACATACAGGGGACAGCAATGAAGACACGTACCATTGGCAGATGGTGGGTGAGTTCTTCACGCCCTGTGGCAACATTCGCCAATGGTAGCGCTCCACTGGGGCTTCTCGATTGATGGAGGGAACCGAGACGGCAAAACGTGGTGCATCATCAGGATGCAGGGGAATTTGAAAAAAGCAATTCTTAATATCTATGACTGCCAATTCCCAATTTTCTGGGAGCATCGTGGGGGACGGCATCCCTGGTTGGAGGGGACCCATGCTTTCAATGATGTTATTGATGGAACGAAGATCGTGGAGGAGCCACCACTCGTCTCATCCTGGTTTTTTAAGAATGAAGACGGGGGAATTCCAAGGCGATGTTGTTGCCTGGATGTTCCCTTTGGCTAATTGCTCATCCACGAGTTCACAGAGCGCTTTTAATTTTTGTTTGTTGAGTGGCCACTGTTCTACCCAAATCGGAATGTCAGAGAGCCAATTCAATTTTTGGATAGGACGCTCCTCAGTGACCACTGCCCGAAAAACCTGGGGAGTCGGAATGTCCAATGTCACCCCCCATTGGGCCATCAGGTCCCTTCCCCACAGGGGCTCCGTATAATCCAAAACGAATGGGCGTAGGTATGCCGATTGCCCATCTGGCCCTTCGAATTTGACGATGCTCTTTGATTGTTTGGCCAATTGTGTGCCCCCCACACCTTGAATCCGTCCAGCCACGTCCTGCAATTCCCATAGTGACGGCCAATCCTGAGAGGGAATGACCGTGACATCTGCCCCTGTATCTAAAAGTCCGTTGAGATGTTTGTGCTCCCCACCCTTCCACATGTAGCACGATATTTTGGGACAGTCTTTTCCCAGTACCTGGGCCTGGCATACCTCATAGATCTCAGCCGAGGTCTTCCTCCACAGATCTTCAAGGTGGACTGGAGGCCCAGATACTGGAATTGCCTGCACTATGATCTGCCCTTTAGGCAGAAAAACTGGAGGGTGGGAGCAGTGCAGCCACAACACCAATTTTTCAGGGTTTGCTGTTACAAGGCCTGGTGCAATTGTGATGTCAAGAGGCGTGTATTTTGTGTCCCCAAGAATGATGTACTTACTGTGGAGTTTCCTCCAGGTTCCGGGGTCCTCTGTATTGATGGTTACGAAATGCCAATTGGTGTCCTTCAAGTGCAATGCCTCAGTCAGGGCCAACCTATATGGAGAGAAATTAGATTTAGTATTTAAAATCGGCTTTGGCTGGTCCGGGTCTCGGCCAAGCCAAGCTTTGGAGATGAAGCTAACGTCTTCATCCATATAGATTAGGTCTTTCGCCCTTGTTCCCTTCGGTGTCATGTCTGGTTTTGTGTCAAGTCCAGTATAAAGTTCCTCAGGTGGGCATTTTGGCGTGTCCCTCCCCTCCTCAGATGTAGCTTGTCCCACCTTACTTATGTCGTCGCACAGGGAGGGACTGCGCTGTTCCTCTAGTTTTTTTGCTTCCCCCCTTGTCTGGGGGCCCTCTGCCCTTGTTGATTTTTAAACTTCATGAATTACCCCCATAGAGAGCATTGGTTTGCCCAGTGTCCCCTCTGTTTGCAAAGGTGACAAGGCCTCTCGTGGGTGTTGTCTCTTCTTGGTGGTCCAGGAAAACGCCGTTCGGACCAGGGGTTGTCAATGGAGTGACCGCTTTGGCGAACGAGACTCTCCTCGATGCCATTCGGAGAGTCCTGGGGACGTCTCTGGCTGGCGTGACGACCTTGCGCGCGCACACATCGAGCATGTTCTGAAGAGTGGGTTCCGGATTGAGGGGTAGACTCAGGATCGCCTGCTTGCACACCTCATTCGCGTTTTGCCTGGCGACCTCGTGGTGATTCCCCTCCTCAGCCCCTCGTCTGGAACCTGGGACTCGATGGCGCTGCACAGCCTGTCCATGAAGCTAACGAATGTTTCTGCTGGGTCCTGCTTGATGGATAAGTAGTTAGTGACTGGGCCCGCTAGCCTTAGCTTGAAAAAGGCCCTTTCTGCTGCCTTTGAGCTCGCTGTTAGAGCTTCCTTAGGAATCTTTTCCGCCTGCTTTGTGGCGGATTCCCAATCCCCCACTCTGCATAGATGGAGGTGAGGTCATGGGAATCGGGGGCGGTGACAGAAGAGGCGGGGCAAATGCCAGGGGGTGGCACTGAGGTGATGTCAGGGGGCGTGACCGCATGGGAGGAGGTGTTTGAGGTGGGCGGAGGGAGAGAGGGGGTGGAAAGATCTTGTGGGCGGTCTTGGGAAAGGAAGGGGTTGGGCGTATGGAGGAAGGGGTTTTGGGAGGAGGCGGGAAAGGGAAAGGGGTTATGGGAAGAGGGAGCACAAGTGGTGGGAAAAGCCATGCGGCCTCTGCCATCTTGTGGGGTTTGGCGGGAAGGGAAGCCATTTTGTGGGATGTGAGGGAAGACATTAGGGATATCATCGGGGGGCTTAACACTTATAGAACTCCTACGGGATGGGGCTGTACACGGTAGGGAAGAAGGGGTACAGGGATGAGGCTGCACAGTGCCCGCACTGTCTTGCAAAGGGTCTCGAAACTCCCCAGAGAGGCCAGAATCTTCCTGCGGATGGCGCCGGGATGCCTGTCCGAGCGGCTCCGAGTTAGGGGAAGAAGGGGAGGAATGAGGGATAAGGTTTTTACAACTGGGGGCAGGTTTGTCTCCAGATGGCTGTGTCAACTGTTCATAAGTACTCTTAACAATGCTACGAATTTGGAGAGCCAAATACAAGTGAGCAGAGAGAGAGGGATCCCTGTTATGGAGAATCTCTCTCCCTACTTGATCCCAAAAGGGGATCTAGTATAATTTTTCAACCGAAACATCAGGGAAGGTTTGAGACAGCCAACGAACAAACCGCTTAACATCAGATTTTTTAAACTTTTTATCACCCCTAACAAGGATTCCCACAACTTGGATATAAATTCTCTTTGCGACACAGACAGCCTAGCACCCATGCTGCCGAGATCTTAAATTGTGTCGCCCACCCAACAACCAGAAAATGCAAACAAAACCAAGAAGACCCCTCGAGACTGCTTAACCCTCCTACTCTCCTGCTCCCTGCACCCCGGGAAAGGGAGCACACAAATGTGGGGTCTTTCCCCTTGCAGGAAACGAAGTCCACCAGGAAAAGAAAGCCCACCCAAGAAGGAGCATTCCCCCCCCCCAAAACCAAAGAGGATAGGGAAAACCCTTCTGAGAGAGGGAAAAGGAAAAGCTCCAGGGATCCTCACACACTTACGGTTCCCAGGGATCCACATCCTTCAGGGAAACGAAAAACGTCTGGTCGCTGGGACACCGCAGGGGGACCAACTCCGATGGTGCCTGCCGGAGCTGCTAGTCCCGCCCCCAGGAGCGCCGCTCACTAAAACGCGAGCCTGCTACAGCTGGGATGTCGTGACGGCCAGGAGGTAATCCAAAGATCTCCAGTGAGATCTAGAGTCCTCAACCATGGGGTTCGGTGGTCTTCTCGAGTCTCACATTGGGCGCCACGACTGCCGCGTTCTTCCCCTCAAGCCTCATCTTCTCACCCCCGGCTAGCTCTCCGTGAGGGAGAGAGCGGGCAGGTCTCCAGCACTCCCGCTGGACCTCTGTGGGCTTTGGAGAGCGCTGCGTGGGTTTCTGGAGAAGCAGCCGAAAATCCCCGCGGTGTAGAGAAAGAAGAGAGTCCTCCTCCGGGGGCCAAAATCCTCTTTATTAGTCCCAATGGGGACAACGTGCTGACGAGGATCTAACTAACAGGGTTGGTGCCTGCCAGAGAAGGCACTTGGAACCGGGTGACAAGGGATTTTATACTGCCGGGGGCGGGGAAAACTGGGACCAATGGGAATCTTTGGGGTGTGGCTCGCTCTTGGGGAAGGGCCAATAGGAAAGGGATATGGGAGGGGCCCCGGGACCTGGCCGAATCACCCGACGCTCTGGGTAGAAGATTCTGGATGGAAGGGCAGGGACACCGGGTGACGGACAGGGATCCAGGGAGGGGACAGGGGAATGACTTTGCACTTTTGGGGAGGATTGACAGGGGAAGGAAGGCGGGAAACCTGGGGATGGAACCAACTGAAAAACCGGGGGTACATGGAACAAACAAACTGAACATAGAACCAACCGCGTACATCGAATAAACGCAATAACTTAAATAGAATGTAAAATAACACAACTCTACACACAGCTGTCTTTACTTCAGCAGCAAGTTTAGGATATTCTGAGAACAAGCAAATGAAGTAAACACCTGAGTACTATAGAGATGGTAAAGCCTCTACCATGAAATGTGTAACAATATATTAACGTAAGGGTTATGTTTTCCTTCCATAAGAAGCTCTTAGGCTATTTTTTCCTTCTATTTCAAAAGCCTGGTAGGGAGCCTATTGCTGTGGAGAAAACAAAACTACGCTGCCAAAAAGGCTACTCGAAGTTGCAGGAGTTGCACATTCTCCAATAGTGGCAGATTAAACCTGTTTTCAGGTACAAGAAAGATGGAGAGTCTATTTACAGGGGCATGTTGTGACAGCACAAGGGAGAATGGTTTTAAACTGAAAGACAGTAGGTTTAGATTAGCTGATAGGAAAAAATTCCTCACTGTGAGGGTGATGAGGCACTGGAACACGTTGTCCAAAAAGGTTGTGAATGCCCCATATCTGGAAGTATTCAAGGCCAGGTAGGATGGGGCTCTGAGCAACCTGGTCTAATGGAAGGTGTCCCTGCCCATGACAGGGATGTTGGAACTGGATGATCTTTAAGGTCCCTTTCAAAACAAACCCTTCTGTGATTCAGCATTCTTGGTTCTCTCATTATGAGAATCTTTACCTCACTGAAGCAAAGCTTCAAGGTTTTGACTTGGAACTTTCTGACTTCCTTTTCTCTTATTAAACATGCTAATTCCTAATTGCATATGATACTCTTCATCTATACATGTTTTAACCCATTTTGAGAGCAGTTAAAAATAAACAAAGGTTAGAAATAACTATTTATTATGAAAATAATGCAAAAACATTTATCTGCTCCCTGAACTATCAAAATATACAACAAAGACTTAATTCTCTAGAAAACAAAGAAAAGTGCATTGTAGCAGACAAAACTGCTTGTGTAATATACATTTTTTGTATAAACATTAATACTCTTCAAAGTCTTGTTGAATATCATTCAGTGCACGTGTCAGTCGTCTTATTTTATTTTCCATGGCTTTCTTATTGCTTGCCATTTCTTGCAGGAGCTCCCGCATTTCTTCTTCAACAGAGTAGACCTGAAAGAGCACACAGTGATGAAGTAGAATTCTTGCTTTTCTTAACACACCTAAACCCATATAATCTTGGCAATTTTTAACACTGATAAGCAGTGTAAGATTATATGCTTAGGTTTGAATATGCAATGCATTACTCTTGATACTGGATGCAGAAGCAGAATTTTTTCTTTAAAAAAAATGTATTAATCTGCTAGGAGGTAGCAAGTAGTGTATCAATACAGAAAACTTATTATGGAAAAAAGCACCAGTTGTCATGTTAAGGAAGAATGCAGTACATACAGAAGCAGTAACAGTTAAGGTTGGCATAGGTGAGTTAAATGGATTATCTGGCATAGATAATCATTACTCTTGCCTGTATGGATATGTTTAGCTATTGATTCATAACCTGCATAGCATGGAGCTTCACTTTGCTAGAATATAAAACATTACAATGGCACAAGTCTAGAGATTTTCTTGCTGTGCAAAGACTGAGTACTAAATCAGGACTGTTTCCATCCAGTCAGCCTGATAGATTCAAACAGGAGGCTCCCCAGCACCACTCTTTTAGCAGCTGTAGAATAAAAATGGGAATATAATAAATGTATAAATTTCATATTAAAATTACTTTCTCATTTGCTGCTTCAATTTGTTTCTCCTTTTCATTTTCCAGGTGCAAGAGTTCTTCCTGATGTGCTGCCAACACTGACTCAAGTTGTTTTCTGAAAGCATTATCCATTTTATGAAGCTTTTCCACAGCAATCCTAAAAAAATCATTGAAAAAAAAATCAGGGTCCTGCAAACAACTGAAGTGTTTGGTTTGTCCAGTTGGGCCTTTGATAAGGTTTTAATAACTTAAGCATGAAGAAAATTCTATATTGGCATCAGAAGTGTCCTGTTTTCCCAAGTACAAGTTCTAGCTTTATGCACTGTGTTTAGGACCTCTAGCATTCTCTAAGGAGAGGCATTTAATCCCTAGCAAAGGATATGAAGATTAGGGCTTGCTACTGTCAACATGGACAAGAACTCTACCTATTTTCAAACAGCTCCTTATGCTTTTGGTTCCCAAGAAGTGAATGAACTGTGTGTTCCTGTGAACAGCCTATGAGCCTGTGTCTCACAGAACTAGAGAAGCATCTCCTTCACCATAAAGAAATGTTTCTTTAACTCCAAGCAAATTCTGCTTATAAGGGATAATTCTTAAATATGTAGGAACAAAATGCAAGGCAATTTTGTACAATTAATTTACAACAAAATTCTGAAACAAACCAGAATTATTTAGAACAAAAATTTCAGTTTCACAATTGATCTTCTGACAGTTTCAAACCCCAATACTATTGACTATTTGAAGTAGTTGGTTTTGTTTGGCTTTTTTGTTATTGTTGTTGCTGTTGATTTGTTGTAGTTCTGTTTTTTCTTTTTATGCAGTCTTATTAACTAGCTGGTATTTTCTCAAGAATTGTTGGGAGAAAGGAAGAAAAACATGAGAAGGGGACCAAAGAATAAAGTAAAAATCATCAGTTTAGCAAACTTCTCCATCATTCCAGAAGCATATGAAATAATTTTTCAGTTTATGAGTACTTGTTTCTGTATCATCTCATACTTAACTATTAATTGATTGAAGAAATGGACAGTAAGAAGAACAAGAAAATAAATTTAAAATCTTACTATTTGTATGGGTAAAGAATGACAGTTAATTTAGAAACAGTCTGTCACAGACTGAAATAGTGATTAACAGACACCAAGTTGGGCAGGAATGTTGATCTGCTGGAGGGCAGGAAGGCTCTACAGAAGGGATCAGGGCAGGTTGCACTGATGGGATGAGGCTAATTGTATGAGGTTATTTTCAAAGAAAATGAAAGTTCATATGCTGAATGCTGTAACTTAATGCCAATTCCACAAAGTAAGTCACCCTATAAAGCAAGAATTCCTTCTAGGCCCAGTTTGTAACTGGGCTCACCAGGTAGTTAAAAAGGTATTACACATTCTTTCACCAAAAAAATCGAGTATTTCTGCGCAGTTATGAATAGTACAACTCTACAGTAATTGAGTAGTCACAAAATAAACAATTAAAGTATTCACCTTTGAGTTTGAAGACTTTTATTTCTCTCTTCAATCAGCTTCTTCTCTTTGAAATCAAAGTTCTCCTTCATTTGTTTAACCTGCACCTCCAGCTGGCTTAAAAGCTCTGCTTTACCTTGCCACCTCTTTTTCAGTGCACTGAAAATTAAATGCACATATTTACAATGAATGTAAATACCACTTCTTAGGAATGCTGAAAAATTTCTCATACTTCCATTTCTCCTCATTTCTGCAGGTTTTAATAGCAAGCAAGAATAACTTCAGAGCAGTGTTACATACAATGATCCCAAAGAATTATTGTGATTTGTATGTATCACCTGTGTGCATTCTTAATGTCATCAAGTTCTACTTCTTTTTCTTCTAGCAGTTGCTTTAATTCCTCTTTTCTTTCATTTTGCCTTTCTAATTTTTTCATTAGCTTTTCACATTCAGCAACTTTTTCATCCAACTGTATTTGAAGCAATTTCAGATCTTCCCGATTTTCTTCATGGTGTTTTTTGATTTGTTTATCTTTTTCTTGTAAGCCCTTTAGAAGATAAGTATTTTAGAATACACAAAGTCCCTTTATTTTATTATTACCCCCTTAAGAGTATGTGTTTAGTCTATGATGGAATAAAGCAGAGAACAACATAAAAGTTTACTCTTCTGAATGTATGAAGAACACTTAGTAAAGCGATAGTCAGTTACTTAATCTTCATCTGAAAGAAGTCTGAATATTAAAAAAAGCCATCAAAACATAAATCTGAAGTTGAAAGTAAGATAAGAAAAAAGTTATTTTGAATTCTTATTCTACAAAAGAGTTACATAAACAACTTATATGTAAGTCACTGAGCTCACAATCTGTGTAACAATGACTAATGCATCTAACTTTATCATAACATGCTATAAAATTTTGATTATTAAGCTAAAGTTTTAATTCTCTAAATGAGATAAATGGAATTATTGGGACAAAACGTATTACTTCTGCTGCCAAAATACTATTTTACAAGAACAAAATAAATTTTAAATATTTATGTTGTAAAATAAATGTAAAGCAAACTTTTAAAAATGATTTTTCCTTTTATTTTAAACACTCAAGAAGAGTTATGCTATCCTAGTTTCAACTCTCTCAAAATCATTATCAAGAATAAACTGAAGCAAGGCAAAGAGAAGAAAGTCTGTACATAAATATAGCTCAGTGAGAGATTCAAAGTAGCATCACTTTGCATCTATTTAATAAAAAGCCCTCTTTTGCTCTCAGTGAAATGAATTGCCACTGACAGCCTGATTGTGATTTGTGAGTTGGAAA